CAATTTATTATGAATAAGTGGGGGATGTGTAATTGAACAAGCAATGTTCACAATTATCAGGTTTGTATATTTATAACGTTGAAAGCAAATAATTAATCATTAGGCATCCATTGACAAACAACGTGTAATATGACGTTAAATTACAAATATGACATTTCGTTATGAAAACTGTTGTTTGTGTTCAAATTAACCAAACGTTTTGTGCTGATTATTGTTTTCATTGTCTATATCTATTACTGTTGTTAAGTTCACCAAAAAACAAAAGTATGCGTCGTTTAATAAGTCTTTTTCAAATACATAATTTTTATTATTGTTAAAAGTTTAAAATATTAACATTATTAACATTTGTTTAATGCCTTATATAATAGTATAAAACAAATTAGTTTATATTTATTATTTCATTTGATAATCAACTTACTCAATACACTGGAAGAATTTTTGGAAAAATCGAATTTTTTATGTATATAATAACATTATTTTCATGAAAACCACTTTTTATATGACAACAAATAATTCTTCTATCTGTATATATGTAATTGTAATTCATGATATAAAAATAACTTAAGGTAAATATACTATCACAATTTACTGATTATTTATGATAAAATACAATATATAAAATGGCGTTGCATAATACAACTTATAGTGTTAATTATAATAAAAACAATTATCAAATACTATAATTTATTTTTTAATATTATACACATATAAATCGTAAAAATAATTAGTAATCAAATATACTGAAATCGTTTTGTTGTTATAGACAATTGTACAGTATTATTTATTACATAATTTAAATGCATCAATTAAACTGATCAATTGTATTACACATATTATTAGATATCAACTCATCTTGATTGTAGATTTAAATGTTGATAATTAATAAAAACAAAAAAGTTATTTTCATTGTATGAGTTTAACATTATTTTAAATATTAAAATAATGTTAAATAAAATAACTTTAAAATAAATAACTACACATATTATTTTAAGTTCATTGATTAAATTTTATTTTTATGAAACAATTTCAAGAACATATAAAATTGTTTTTAAACCATCAATAAACTCGATTTTTCAAACTTTATATATCAAATGAGTAAATTAGACGGTTATAACATGATGGTAGTCTCTTTTTATTTTACCTCACTTGATGATTTCATAAAATTAAATTATGTGTGTAAAAAGTTCAAAGAAAACATGGAAAAATTTCATATAAATCCAATTCCACTAACAAATTCGACCATTAAATATTTTCCAAATATTGAGACTTTGAACCTTTGGAGTAAAAATGATGAAGATTTTGGTAACTCAATACATTCCAACCCAAATTCTCTTAACAAAAAAGACTTCTTTGCCGTCAACATTTGGTTTGAAGTTACCTATCACATGACACAGCATTTACTTGATACAAAATATTCTTTTAAAAACGTCATATACACCAAATGAGACCGCAAAAAGTATGGTGAGGCAATACCTCCAAAGTCTCCAAACTTGGTTTAAAGTGTTTTTCTAAGTTCCACAAAACGACTATAGAAATTCCAAGTAAAGTTCGTTCTCTAGGTGAAAAGTGTTTTTACAACAGTCCATCTTTGGAATCAGTCACTTTTCCAGACAATTTAATTTCGATAGGAGACACAAGCTTTGGGTACGTCATGAATTTAAGACGTGTAAAAATCCCAAATACTATCACGCGCCTCGGTGTCCGTTGCTTTTCTAATTGCACGAGTATGACGTCAATAACACTGCCAGATGCGCTTAAAGAAGTTGGGAATAATTGCTTTGAAAACTGCTTTGGCTTGAGTCAAATTTCACTTCCCAAAACAGTGAAAGTGATTGGCGATAACGCATTCTTTTGGTGCTGCGCCCTCAAAACATTTGAAATTTCTGAATTGGAAAATCCACTTGGCAATTGCGCGTTTGCGAAGTGCGACAGTTTGACTGGAATCACTTTGAATGGAACTTTTAAGGAGGTCGGAAGTGGGTGCTTCTCTATGTGCCAGTCACTCAAAAATGTTGTTATACCAAAACACCTTACTAAAATAGGAGAAGGTTGTTTCCAGATGTTGCCTGTTATAGAAGAATTTATTTTACCAACTAATTTGAAAGAAATTCCAAAAATGTGCTTTGAAGAATGTGGTAAGTTAAGTAAAATTGATATACCGAAAAGTGTGACTAAAATTGGATTAAGATGCTTTGAAGGGTGCAAAAATCTGGAAATTAAAGTAACTAAAATTGTATCGGTCGTAGAAGATAGAGCATTTGAAAACGTTAAAAAAGTCGTTTATCTTAATTAAAAAAAGTTTAATTTATTGTTAAAATGTTATTATATAATTTTATATATATAATACATCTTTAATTTCTCGTTTATCATATAAATGTTTCGTTATATAAACTATTTAAATAATACTTATCTTAATATTATGTACATAGTATATAATAAGAAAAGTAAGTGTTTAGTATTTTTCACGCACAGAGTTGCACATTTCTGTTATTTTTTATTTTTTTTATAAAAAAATATTTATAATTTTTCAAAAACGCGTTTTTAATTATCAAAAATACGAATAAAACATTTAATATTCATGATACGTATAACACGTTATCAATACGTTATAAAATTCAAATACAAATGTTGATGTAAAGATAATTAATAAAGTTTATCTTTATTACAATTATTAAAAATTTAATCAGTACAACAACACACACAAGATATTAGAAAGTAAATACATATAAACAAATTAAATTATTTTAATTAAACATGTTAATATTAAAAACAAATGTTGTTGAACTAATTTACATATATTTTAAAAAATTACAATAAAACGTTTTGAGCTTTATTAAATATAAATATAAAAAACAATTTGTTATGTTTATTGAATATCATTAAAATGTTTTGATTCTTTCAAAATAAATTATTAATTACCTTAAAAAATATTATCAATAAAAATTTAAATACGATAAAGAAACAACAATTAAAAAAATATTTAATACATCTAAATATACATTAATGTTTATATCAAATAACAATAAAATAAATAAAGTGTGTTGTTTATAAAATAATCATAATGATAATTAACATCACAACAATTAAAATATTATGGGAAGTGTTTGGATTCACTCTTTCTCCGTTTGAACACTTAACACATTCTTTATCTCTTGTATCACAAGGTGTTTTATATGATTTTTCTTCTTTACAAACTTCGCATTTTTTAATATTATCGAAATATTTGTCCGGGCATTTTTCTACACATGTTTTGTTGAATAAAAATGTACCAATAATACACTCGGTGCACTCTTCTGGTGTACATGTTGCACAATTATTTAAACATCTTTCACAAACTTGATTTGGACCAATAAAGTACCCGAGTGGACAACTTGTCTCACAAGTAAATGGAAAGTCGGGTTGTAAATAATAATCAATTTTACATGAATTACACCGAGTTTTATTGATACTCTCTGAACAATTTAAACAATTTGCAATTCCAAACATTTCATCAGAGCAACTTTTGCAACACAAAATGCCATCAATTGTTATTCCGAAATTAGTATTTGAAGTACAAATAGTATTACATTCAGTACTGCCATCATTATTTATTTTTAAATATAATTGGGAATTGCATGTTATACAAATTGTATTATTATTTGAATCACATTCTTTACAGTTTTGTACATCACAAATGATTTTCTCGCATTTTCCGCCTTGATCTCCACTTGGCTCAACTTGTGTATATTCCTTGGGACACGAACTAACACACACTTTGGTATCAAAAGTAAGATAATAGCCAGTTAAACACTTTTCGCATTTTAATGGATCGTTAGGTAAAAATTCTGTGTTATTTATTTCACAGTGTTCAGGATATAAGTAACAATAATTCTTTTCTGTGTCAATATAAAACTTATTTTTATCACATTCTTTGGTACAACTTTGTGTACTTACAACGACAAAACGAGTGTCACAAGTTGACCTGCAATAAGTAATACCCAAACTCTCATATACATACAACCCCTCATTACATCTTAGGCATATTGTATTGTTTGTGCAATATTTGCAGTTTTGTAGAGCTTCACCACACAGAACACAATTACCGTTATTATCAAAATATGCTTCATTAGTTTCAATTGGACACGAAGACTGTACACAAGACCCTTTACTCGTTTTTATATATCCACTTTGACAAGAAGTGCACTGATATTTTGATGTTGGATTTTCTTCACTTGCTTCAATACACTCATTACAATAAGAAGGACATTTCACACAAGTTATATTATCAAACAAAAGATGATATCCATTGTGTGTGTCGCACATAGAAATACACCTTTTAGTGTTAAAGTCAAAGTAGTTTCCAGTCGCACATTTTAAGCATTGATACTCATTACATTCATTTTCAGCACATCCTTCAAATTGAGAACAATTGCTTGATTTAATATCACATTCAGTGTTTAACCCATCAAACGAGTAATATCCAACTTCACAATCAACACACGTCATATCTGTTAAATTCACTTTTTGTCTTTTTGTGCACTCAATTTTTGTGGCATTTAATTGGAGAAATTTATTACCATTTTCATTGTATTTATTACCAACGAAAACCTTTAAAGTTTCTGATATATTAAAACCATTTGATGTCCATGTTGGTTCAGAACTTCCGTGATATAAAATTGCGTCAAGAAAATATAAGGGATATCCAATATATGATAATTGACCAACAGATATCACAAGAATTTGTGTTTGCATTAACGCGTCATATTCGATTGATGTGACTCTATCAGTGTTTTTGAGTGTCACAAGTTCATAACAATAAGCCAACATTTGATTTGGTAGCGTGTGGTATCCACTCATATCAAATGATGTCATATATTGTGCTGAATTAAATGCACTTTCTCCTACATATAAATTGGGTAAATAAGACAATTTAAAATTAGACAATTCGGTTCCTTGAAAAGCACTTGTTCCAATAAACTCCAATTTTTCACAAAAATTTGTTCCATCGTCTCTTTTACATATGGAAGTTATTGGAGAATTATAAAAAACATATTCTCCGACACTTTTAAGTTCAAAACCACCGGTTATGCTGCTCAATGTGGTGACTGACTCAAATGCATTCATACCCAAAATTTCAACATTTGCAAGGTTAAAAGAAGTGAGTGAACTCACAAAAAATGCATAATCACCAACTTCTTTTAAAGCAGTTCCAAAAGTGGCATTTTCTAATGTAGTTACCAGAAAAAATGCCATTTCACCTATTTTGACAGCTGTTGGCATTGTAACAGATGTCAAAAACGTGTTTCTTGCAAATCCATTTTTGCAAATTTCTGTGCCACTGGAAATGATCATAATTGGATCACATTCAGAAGGATCACCATTGTCGTAGTATTTAATACAACCTCCATACACGGTATCCTCTCTATAACACTGTTTTAAAGCATATGTCAATTCAAACAAATTTAGTAGAAAGAAAATCATATTACATATATAAGTTAGACGTCATTTTATATACATAAAAATAAAATAAAAACCAAAAAAATAGGTTCAAGTTTACAATCTTTTCAACTTTTTATGTTTATATTTTTTGTTCAACAATAAAAACAAAATTATTTAAAAAATAAATCTAAACTAATACCCCTGATAAATATTTGGATTTTTGTTATTAAAATATATTAAAACATTAATAAAATGAAATTTTATTTTATAAAAACAAACAATTATAATTACAGTCATTGTTTTTCATAATCTAATCCTTTTGTAGAAAATATTAATTTGGGGAAGAATTTCTTATTTTTATGTTATTGTTTAAGTTTTTTGTGTTTTTCCAATGTTCGTGTTTTACAATAATGTAATTATTTTAATTCAAATAATTCCACAAACCGATTTTCTTTAATTTTTGTAAAAATGATAAAATGTATAATATTCAAAATTGAAAAATAAACAATTCATATAAATATTTTTTTATTTAAATGTACATCATTTCATAATATAGATCATTTTTAAATAAATAAATATTTAATTTTTGTAAATATTTGTGATATATTTCAAAATGAGGTCTAAAAAGACTATTAATA